TAGACCCGACGACCTTGACCTCTCGGAAATGTATGTTAGTGAATGGCATGAAACTAGAAAAGAGCTAATCTCACTCGAATTTGATTAGTATCCTTTTTATGCTATCCATACAACAAGCCAAATTAATTGTGAATGTCTTCATTGGGAAACATTCACATCAGTCAAAACTTTATTTTATCGATATACTATGAAAGATTACTTATAACTAGGCAAACAGTCTTATAATTATGCAAATAAAATGAAGAAATATGTATTAGTATATCTTCCTAAAAGTTCTGACTACATTACCTCTATAGGCTACTGGTCCTTATTTCATAAGGTCTAAAATTTAATTTCATCCACACATGCATAAGACATTAAAATTAATTTACCCATTTTCTGGTTTGTACAGAATAATGTAAAGTCTTAATCCTAACATTACAGGTAGTTCTTTTGCACTTGGAGATCATTCCTGCCTGTCACCCAATTGTTCGGTTTTATCTAAATTTAGGCAAATAAATTATCCCCCTTTGTGTAATTCAGAGTCTTTTCCATTATTATCTTCGAAGTTAACTCTTTTTCTCTTTATTAACTAAAAGACTACATCATATTCCATTCTCTATCATTTAATGCTCCGTTATTCATAATATTAGACCTCAAAAGATTATTAATCAAGGATGAGTTAGGAGCCAGCTTTTATCTGCTTAATTATGGACACAATCCTTTGACATGATTACTAGAGGCATCATCGATACACAATTTTCCTGGCCCTGATATTGAAATCGCCTTTTTCTGCTGAATCAATGAGTGCTACAGTTACTGGCGTAATCTGACGACAGTATCTTACCTTTTGACATGCTATTTCGTTGCATATTTTTACTAATTAATCAATGCTTGTACAGGTAACATTATAGTTGGATCTGCTTCCACCATTCTTTACTTCCAAAAAGCTTGAATTTGTGTTGGGTGTCTATATTTCACATACACTTAGCATGGCATGTATCCGGAAGGAACTACTTTAGGCCAAATGAATTCGTAAACTAATTGCTATGGCACATGTCTAAAGCTGTCCCCTTTATCTCTCATTATGATTTACCTTTTTAAATAGTATGTTGCCGGGCGAGTTGAAATCAAACGGCGTGAAAATCGCTGCATCCTCAAGGTTGTGCGAGCCAAGCCTGATCAAGAAGGAGAATATAGTTGCGTCGTGGAGGGCGACGAGACCTACATTGATGTGGCCGTCGAGGATCCAGACTGGTTTTTCACGCGCGATCTTAAAGCACAGAATGCTCTACAGTATGATGAAGAAGTGGCTTTCGAGTGCGAGGTCAATGAAAAGGAAGCGGAAGTCAAGTGGATCCGAAATGACCAGGTTTGATTCTTCATTTTACGGATTTTCCATGAAACAGTAAGACCTAATTTTGTAGTAAAATAAATAATGAAGATTATAAGATTTAGTCTGGGCGACGACACCAATTCTTCTTGAAGGCCAATATAAGAATTCTTTATTTTTTTCTAATTCTCGTGAAATCCGAATTAAGTTAAGGAATTACAATAATATACTCGCTCTTAAAAAGTATTACTATGAATAAGGAAGTGGAAAGAAGACGTAGCCTGACTAGTTTATCATAGAAATGGACTTACTTCAAAATATTGTTCATAGTGTCTACTTCAGGCAGATCGATTTTGTAGTTTGTAGATTATG